CCTAGGACGCAGCTATCATTCAGTATTTACATTCAAATATGTTTGTTACGCTTCGATTCAAGGAAGTTCCCCTAGTTAACACGCGAAGATCTATAGACTACACACTGTTGATGAACTTGGTGCTCTGTACTCAGTGGGTTTCCTTTGACGAAGAATCCAATCCGTTGGTCACCTGGAAGAAATTTATTGACAATCTCAAATCTAATGACATCCGTGACTAAGACTAGAGTAATCACCAAATCCGGCACCCGAAATTCACCTGTTCGAAGTCGCACAAGGAAATGGCTATCGACGAGGGACTTATCCTGGCGAGATTATAATCGTCTTCCGAATGCTGCTACGTGGAATAATTATCGTATGCTTGGGAATCACTGCACCAGCCTGATTCGTGAGGATAAACTGGAATACCTTGAGGCGCTAGCACAGATTCATTTCTAACCCTAAGCTGTTGTACAAGTACGTTAACCTCATTCGGATAGTATAGTTTGGTATACCGGTACTAATTAGCGCTGAAAGAGTTGCAGCCGCTCCAACAGAAGCAGCTGAAATGCTGAAAACTCATTATTCCAACGTTTTCGCAGCACCGCAGGTTGAAGGTTTATAACTACCCCTCTGGTTGCATCATTTTCCACATCCTTCACTGACCTACGTTTCATTTACTACTGAAAATGTCAAATCGAAAAAATGCAACCCCAGGTGCGGACAACACCCGAAGTCTCAGCTGTTTTTGGCAAATCAAATATCCGAACCGCTAGCCATTCTGTTTCAACTAATGTTCGACCAAGCAACATACCCCGAATCGTGGAAATAAGGAGTCATTTCTCCCATATACAAAGGTGGTTGTCGTAGTGACCCCGCTATCTATAAACCTGTGACTCTGCTTCCGGTGTTATCGAAGGTTATGGTGTCAATTATGGCCGATTCTCTGATGGAGCACCTCGAAAGATACAACGTTCTCTCGACCGCTCAACACGGGTTTAGGCAAAAACGATCCTGCTCCATCAA